TCTATTCACCCTTGTGCGTGTGTGTGTGTGTGTGTGTGCGCGCGCGCGTACGCATCCCACGGGGCTGATCCTCATGTTGAGTTTAAGTGTCAGTGAAGGATGAGGACAAGAACAACGATTCCTTAACTTTGCTGCTCATCAGAATTGCCTGGTAGCCTTTCGGGGTCCTGATGCCCACACTGTCCCCTGTGCTCACTAAATTGGAATCTCTTCGGAGGGGAGGGGACTCAAATATTTGCATTCTTTAAAATCCCCAGGTGATTTCAATGCATAGCCCAGTTTGAGAGCAGCGGACTGGATGGCTTTTGGTATGTTAGGGAAACCATGAGTGACACAGTGAGGAGAGGAGCCTTTTTGCAGGACAGCTGCAGCTGGTTTGGGGAGATGGCTTGCAGAGGTGGGGAGTGACACAATCTGTTTCCAAAGACTGTTACCCATCACAGCACATGCTGGAAACGATCTAATCTAATCTCTTACAGTTGTACAGTTGCAGGGACCCAGAGAGAGGCAGTGACTTGCCCAAGATCACATAGCAGTCAGCAATCAATCCAGGCAGAACTCAGGTCTCCTGCCACCAGGCTGGATTCTAGCACAAACTGCAAGGTGGTGTGTGTGTGTGTGTGTGTGTGTGTGTGTGTGTGCATAGGTGTGAGTATTTGTGTGTGTATGTGTGCGTGGTATATGCCTATGGAGAATTTCACACGAGGATATCTAACATTCTTCCATCTTACTTTGTCTAAACATTGTGCACCTTCTAGGGGGTCATACCCCATGGCAGAAGTAGTTTTAGACCTGGAACAGTTGGCTTATTGATATTTACCATTTGGTGTGTGCGGAGAAACATTTATTTCTGTTTTTTTCTAAAACCTCTGCCAATGAGCTTAGCAAAGGGGCAGGCTCCAGGGAAACTGCATTTGCCATGAAACATTCTGGAATATTTGGCATTTTTGCATGTGTTGTAACAGGCAAACGGAAATTCTGGTAAAACCTGAGCTTCAAGCCAAGATGCATTGTAAAGAAACAGGAATTGGTTCATTTGAAGTTTAATGAGGATGTTTCACTGTTGGAATAAGCTGAAGTCCAGACACCCTTCGCTTGCTCCTGGGCCAGCTTCAGTCCCGAGCCAACAACCCAAGAAGTGATGCCTGTTTATGGTTTGCGGTCAGGAACAGACAACTTTCAAGAGGGTAGAATGAGCAGAGCCTCACACAAGTAGAGGCTTATGCTGAGACACAGCCAAGTACAAATACAGAAACACCAACAAACCTCCACCTGTGCATGCCAGGGCCACCAAACCAGCACAAGTCTGCCCCCTAGGAGCGCCTCCAGCAGTAACTGCCCAGTGAGGGGTAGATGCAGGATGACGAGGGGGCATGGAGGAGGAGGGGCAGACACCTTCCCTAGCCCAAAGTCGCCCCAACCCTATCTCTGATCAAGGAGAAACTCAGGTTTGGCCATGTTAGGTAGGAAATGGTACTTGGGAGAAGAAAGGAGAAGGTTGAAAGTAAAAATCACAGATGTCTAAGTAGGTAGTGAGACACAGAAGGATGGGCTAGCCTTGGGACTTGCCTGGAAGGAGACTGGATGTGAAACAGAAAGGTGGTGTCATTAAACTTTGTGTGTGAGGAGCATTCATGGCAGAGGCAGTGGGGGGTTGAGGTTGGATCGAATGAGATGGAGGTTAAGTTTTAGGAGGAGATGCCAAGTGAAGTTCTAAAGAACCTGAATATGGAAAAGTGTTTCCGTTCGGGGTGCCTAACCAGTGCACTAGCCCTTGACCCCCTAGCAGGGCAGCATATGACCAACACCAGCAGGGCCTTTCCCCCTCAGGCAGGTCAAGCTTCCCTGGCAAAGATCTTTGGCCGAGCAGCCCCATCCCCTGGGTTTCCTCCTGCTTCCCACACGGTCTGAGAAGACACCCTGGTGCACTCCAGGATCCTCTGGAAGCACAGGAGAGCAATACTTAGTGGCCAGTTTGCAAGAAGACCCAGATGGGTACACAGGTTCACAGCAGCCTCCTTCTGCAGGGTCTCATGACACCAAGACCCCTCCTTCCTCCCTGGGGACCAGAACGGGGCATCTATCTCATCTGCTGTGTTTGGAGGATGGCATGGATGGAAGTGGGCATTGAGTCTCAGGCTCCTTCCACAAACTCCTTTTTCAGCCCTTGGTGACTCAGTTCCTTCTTACCGCCAAGATAGAAGAGAATTCTAGTGGGCAGGACTCTGGGGAAAAGCTGGTTCTATTACCAGAAGCCCCAGTGGCCGATTCCTGGCTGTCCTTCATGGCGTACAAGGAGTGGCTACTCCCCACCAGGCAACCTGTGAGCTGTGGCCAGCCTTCTTTGGAACGGGTGCTCTTAAACAGAGGAGCGCTGGTGGGATTCAGGGGTCCCAACAGAACCAAACACCCTAGATAATTCGACTCTTCTCTCTCTTTTTTTTTTTTTTAAATGTTTTATTTATTTCTAGGAGAGAGAGAGACAGCGTGAGCAGGGGAGGGTCAGAGAGAGAGGGAGTCACAGACTCTGAAACAGGCTCCAGGCTCTGAGCTGGCAGTCAGCACAGAGCCCAATGCGGGGCTCGAACCCACGAACCGCGAGATCATGACCTAAAGGAAAGTCGGACGCTTAACCGACTAAGCCACCCAGGCGCCCCTCGACTCTTCTCTCTTGAAGGAGAATTCCAGTGTGCCAAGCGGGGTGAAGGCAAGGCCCTGGGGTATGATCCTTCTACAACTGCCAGCTTGCCCCTCCCAGCAGCCACAGCAGGTGCATGGGATATAAACCAACACAAAGAGGGAGCAAAGGTAGTAGAAATGTCCACTGAACACATAGGGAATGCTTGGGCGGTTCTGACGCAGAGAAGGGAGAAATCTGATGAAAACAAAGCCAGATAAACCAGAAACACCAGCTCCAAGTGATCTAACCGCCTCCTCCACCTAAGATGCCGCTGGGGAAACTAGCCCCTGTGGGAACCTCGTCAGAGCTGAGGGTAGAGGGGACACACCTTCTGGGTCAGTCTTTGGAGAGGCCTGTTTCTGGAGAGATATGCATTAGCCAAGGAAGTCAACTGTCGCCTGACTGAGGCCCCCTGGAAGACCTTAGGATGGACAGAACAAGACCCCACTGAATAGGCGGTACCCACAAAGGGCAAGGTCAGAAATAGAGCTCTGTATGATGACTGACCATAGCTGGGAAGAAGAAGGGGTGTTGGAGCACCTGGCATTTTTGAGATGTTTCTGGAGCTGTGAGCCTGGAACTCAGGCCAGGGATGGTGTGGGAGAGGAAAGGGAGGGATAGGTGAGTCTTATGCAGAGAAGAGAGTAGGTTGCATTGAGCTGCGACTGGATTCTGGCCAGAAATGGGGACACTTTTCTTTTTCAATCCCAAACCTACTTCCAAAAAAGGCTAGTAAGCAACTACCAAACCATAAAAAGAGAACGAGGCCAATGCCCTGAAGTCTGTATGACCTTGAGTGGAAGTCTGGCAGGAGAGGAACCAGGATCCCAGGCAAGGGCAAAGGGCACCCCGAGCGGCAAAGACCTTTAGGTTTGGGGTGCAGAGAGGTCCTCAGCCAGCCATTTTCTCTTCCTCAGTTCTACACAGGGGCCACTTAGGATTGAGAGAGCCCGGAAGAGAGAAAAAGCCAGTGGTAGGAAATGTGAGCTGGTGTGTGGGTGCTGTGGGACATGGGCAGGGGTCTCTCCGCTTTGCCTCCTTCCTCTTTACCACCCCCACACCCTGTCCTCTCTCTTACGGGCCCAGCCTCCATAAGTAAGTCTTGGTTGACCAGTACTGGTTTGCAATCTGTGGAATCTTCGTTGGTGCTTATGAAATTTAGCTAAACAAATAAATAAACAGAGAGATTGCTCGTTGGTGTGTAATTCTCACTGCGAATGCTTTGTATTAAAGTATTTGGCCTAAAAATTCTTCACAAAGGTCCCTGTCAGATACTGTACCTTCCTTCCTGAGTTTCAGAGGGGCCTAGCACTTTCTCCTAGCCTCCCAGGCTTGGGGGACCTCAGCACAGAGTTGGGGGTGGGGTTGATGGCTGGTCAGGCACCTAAACTAGACAAGCGCTTGCCATGAGGGCTCAGCCCCGGGGGCCTTCTGGGATTCCCAGCCTCCCCAACCTCAGTTCCTGTACAAGTGCTCTCCTGACACTTGTCCCTTCCTACTTAAGCCAAGGGAGGTAGGGAGAATCTGACGGGAAAGGGAGTTTCTGCATTAGCTATTGAGGGAAGAGGGCATCCCCAGATCCCCTTCCGGGTCCTCAGGGCGCCTCAGGGAGCGCACTGGTCCTGGGGTGACCTTCCAACCAGACTTGCCTCTTCCAGGTGCGAGGCTCCCGCTAACGTGTTCCGGCACACCACGGGCTTGTCCCTGTTCCCCGCGGCACCTCCCCGTCTCGCAGGGCCTCTCCTGAGCACCTACTCAGGTCACGGTGACTCCCTTGCCCGCCGGCAGCCACACACTGGCCCCACCTGGACGGGGAACTTGCCGGCCTGGGCGCGGCTACCTGCCCCTGGCACAGTGGAAAGCAGAGCCTCAAGGACCGGACGGGGAGTGAGGGCGGCGCACAGCCCTGGAGAGCCCTGGAGAGCCCGGGGGAGCTCTGGGGACCCCTGGGGAGCCCTAGGGAGCCGAGGCAGAACCAGAGGCAAGAGTCGGGACCTCTCCCGGAGCAGTTTGGGAAGAAAGCCTTCCGGGCGCCGGGCCTGGACAAGGGCCCGCGGGCGATCCTCAGCCTCCGCGCGCTGGAGGGACGCCCGGGGCGATGTCCCCCGCCGAGCGAGCCTGCCTTCGCGCCCCGCAGCCTGGGGATCGCGCCAGCCGGTCGGCGGCCGCCGCTCCACCCGGCCGCACCGGCCGCGCAGACCCCGCCTCCCCGCGGGCCCGGGACGCGCGCCACCTGCGGTCCCCGCCGCCCGGCCGAAGGCAAGGGGCGCGGGGCAGGCGCGCACGGGCCGCACGCGCCACGAGGGCGCCCGGACTTTACCTCGGTTGGAGTGGCTCAGGGTGGACGACTGGGAAGACTTGGACTTCTGCCGCTTGACGGTCATCATCACCTGCTCCTGCACGCGCTGCCTGCCCGACGTGCCGGTCTTCATCTTTTGGTCCGACGGCAGAGCCAGCGTCGAGTTGTCCTGGTCGGGAAAGCATTCGTAGGCCAAGGCGGTCTTGAGCGGCGAGTGGTTCATGGCGGCGGGAGGCGCGGGCCGGGCGTGCGAGAGCCGAGAGGGGCGGCGAGGGGCGGCGAGGTGCGGCGGGCGGGCGGGCGGGCGCGGCTCTGCTGGCGCTCAGCGGCTCCCCAGGGCCATAGAGTGAGAGGTCCGCGTGAGGCTCCCGGCGGCGGCTCCTGGCGCCTCCACCCCGGCTCGTCCCTCGGCTGGCACTGGCGGGGCCCGCCCTCGGTCAGACTGGATATACCACCCCTGCCCTGCACCACCCACTCCACTGGCTGCGCGCCGCCGCCGGGTGCCGCGCTGCAGGGGCGCTGCCGCTGCGGGAGCGAGCGCTCTTGGAAGGGGGCAGGGCTGCGAGTCCGGCGTGTGGGACCTCGGCGTCTTGCTCTCTGCTCCTGTCTCTCGCTTCCCTCCCCCGTGACGTGCAGGAGGTGAGGCCCCAGGGAGACGCCCCTGTGTCCTGTTCCTGCTCGCTCATGGAGAAAGTATGTGCTCAGCTCAACCCGGGGAGACTTCTCTCGAGGAAAATGGAGGCTTTCTCGACAAGCCCCCCTCCCCCGCCCCGAGAGAGGCTGAAATCCACCTTCCTCTGTCCTGAGGTCAAGGCAGGGACAAGCCCCCTGGTGAGGACTCCCAGGCTGAGGACTGAAGCACAGCCCCTGCCCAAAAGGAGTGCTCCATCCTATGGGAACGACCCATTCTACTCTAAGGCAGTGGGGACATGAAGCCTCAAGGACCCGACAGACATGAGATACAAAATCACAAAATAGTACACCTGTCATGTGAGGGCATGCCAGAGGAGAACGCCATGTGAACAGTGGAACAGAGTCTGAAACTCCAGACTTAGCCTGTAAAATGGTGCTGGCACATATTAGGGGCTCAATAAAAATTTTTTTGAACGGATGAATGAATGAAAGCTAGCCAATGTAAGGTAAATTAAATCTACTTGTATCCTACCCAGATCCTTCCTGGAAACCTGGAAGGCTGCCTGTCCCATAAAACTACCCCACTATGGACTTACTATTCTGAGACTTCTGTGTGCATTCTCCTGTACACACAACGCCCTGGGGACACATGCACAGTGAGGTTTCCTTCATGTAGCATGGTCCCAGGCACGAAGGTAGCTCATACCAGGGAATCTGGTGTGTAACAGAAGCCTGAGTATTTTAAAAACTGTGTCTATGGAAATCTTTCAAAAAGGCTTCACACCCTGCCTTTTCTCCATAAGCAAAATATGGGCACAGACTTCATGCATTTCTTGATGACTCAGGATTCTCATTGTGGGCACCATTTCTGAACTCTACAGTAGTGAAGTCCCATCAACTGCTTAGTTTTGGGGTGCCTTCAGCTATGTTATGCCATCACAGCTGTCCCTTTAGCTGTCCTTTGTATTTGCCACTCACAGCTCACATACTTCGTTCTTAGCTTTCCCTTCTAATTTGCAGCGGAAGGGGCCATCAGAGTCTTTGCTTGTTGGGAACTATATGAGAAAGGATGGCGAAGCTTGAGTGACAGTCTCAGGGACCACACGAGGGTCATTTCCTCATTTCCTGAGAAGTGGGTGTAACATAGGGAGCCCCTACTTTTCCCCATAATGCATTTCTGGTAGCTATGTGCAGAGCAGAATATTGTAGAGCAGATTATAATTTCTGATAGAAATAGTTTTTTAATTGAAGGTTGTATTAAGAGCTTAACATCAAATTAACCAGAGATGTGACCAACAACATGTCATCGATACAAAGGTCAACACCCATAAACCTCTATCATCTCTTAAAATTTTAAGAGTCCGCTTTCAGCCACAGACTGTCAGGGCTGGATGGATCCTTGGACATTATCCAGCCCAGGCTCCAAATGTTTCTGATGAGGAGAGGAGGTAGCTTGCCCTCAGTCACCCAGTTAATATGTGGCAGAGCTTTCGTTCTTATCAGGCCTGGTGACTCTTGGGCCACTGCTCTTCCCTCCACACGATCCAACCTCCCTTATAAAAGTCCCATAAAATGGGCACTAAAGTACGGTGCTCACTGATTATATAAGGGCCCCAATGTGCTATAAAGTATACATGACAACACATAAAAATACAACTCCATTGTATCATGCATTTGGTCTATCTAAAACCTAATATGCTAGCTATAATAAGTGTTAATTAGGTCTTTAAATAATGATAATTTTGCTACCTCTAAGTTGTGGAAGGGCCCTGAAGGAGGTGATTGGTGCAGCCTATATTGTTATGAAAGGCCATACTTATCTTTCTGGAAACTAAAACTGATCATCTTTAAAGTTGTTTCCAGAGATGAAGTTCAGTTTTTCTAGATATTTTTCTATTATTCTGATATTGACATTATTTTGATATATTGATAGCAATATTCAACACTTGCTGTGCTCCTACAAGCACCAGGCCTATAAACCAGGTGCGGTTCTGGGCTTTTTACATGGGCTGTCGTGTCTGAATTCTTACAGCAAACCTATAAGTCTCAGTATCAGCACCATCATCTTTCTTTTTCAGATGACGAAACTGAGAGTCAGTTAGGCCACCAAGCTGGTGAGCGGCAGAGACAGGGCCAAACACAGGCATCCTGGGTCCAGAGTCTGGGTGTCCCACGGCAGTGCCACACCACCTCCTCCTGATTTCCCTGTGACAAGCATCAGGCTCAAAAGCCTTCCACGGATCAATCTTCTAACAGCATCTATTTCTATCCCATGGCATGAAAGTCAGGCCACCTGGGTCCTGATTCCAATTGTGTCACTAACTAGCTTCATTATGCCAGACAAGTCCCTTCCTCTGTTCTGGAACCAAATCTGTGAAGAGTGGAGGTAGATTTGGTAGCTCAACAAATCTGCCCTTGCCCTAACGCTCTGGAATCCTGATGTCAATCATGGGATATGTAGGGGCAGGAGAATCTTGAACCAGCTCTTCTGGACAAGATTTCCTTTGTCTCTCATACCCCACATGAGCATGAAGGGAAGTTGGAGGGAGCGCTAATATCTACAGGGCAAACAGCGGGTCCACTTGGCATATAGTATTTGATACAATCTTTCCAATAACCCCTGAGGAAGTATTGTTTTGCAGAAGCAGAAACACGTTCAGAAAGGTTAAATCAAGGGCGAAGTCTTGATTTGAACCAAGGTCTGACTTCTCCCTGGGAGAAGGAAAGGAAGGGGATGAGACACACATCACACATTCTGACCCAAAGTGAGCGAGGTATATTCAGGCTAGAAAGACAAGTGTATGGTTTGAGCGAGCAGGCCAAACCTTTTCTCGTCACCTCTCTCCTCTGCCTCCTGAGCTCCAGCCCACGTGGGCCCCTGCCTCAGAAGCAGGCCAGAGAAGAAGGCAGCACCCCTAAGGTGAAGGATAAATGTCAGTGAGACTGAGCTGAGCTCTGAAATGCTTTCAGGCGACTTTTAGAACATTAAAAAAAATTTTTTTAGTGTTTTATTTATTTTTGAGAGAGAGAGACAGGCAGCATGAGCAAGAGAGGGACAGAAAGAGAGGGAGATACAGAATCCAAAGACAGGCTCCAGGCTCTGAGCTGTCAGCACAGAGTCCAACGCGAGGCTCAAACCCACAAACCGTGAGATCATGACCTGAGCCAAAGTCAGACACTCAACTGACTGAGCCACCCAGGTGCCCCTAGAACATATTTTTAGATGATTAAAAAATTCCGACAAGTACAGGTTAATTTGAGTTTAGAGGGCGTGGGATGGTTTGGGAAAAGCATCTCAGAAGAAGTGAATTTTGATTTGATTCTGAAACAAAGCAAGTAAACTGTCATCCTCATAGGAGTTAGAATAAATGAGTATGGACAGGGGTTCTGCTTTCTGCTGCCTTCCTCAGAGCACTGCCTGTGACCCACATGTCACCTGCAGTGCGCTCTTACAAGCGAAACGTCCTGTGACCTCAAGTTCATCCGTTAAAATGTAGAGTAAGGATTTATTTAGCCAGCAAGTTTATTGAACACCTACTGTGGGAAAGGCCTTGTCCCAGGCATTGGGGATACAGTGGTCAAGAAGACAAAGTCCTCTTTATAGAACTTACAATCTAGAGATGGGAGGAGCGGGGGCTGGGCCGGGTGGGAGGACTGGTCCTTGTGAAGAAGGCTGAGAGGAGGCCTCTGGGTCTCCTGCTGCTTCTATGAGTGATTGGGCTGAAACTTCTTCTTGTCTAGTTTCCAGCCCCTCAGGTGACCGGAGCACTTCCCCCTCTACCTCAAGCTGATGGAGGTACCCCTAGGGAGTTGGGTAACCTTTCTTTATGGACCGCTAAGCTTGCCAGCACAGCCTCATCTTACTAAGCCCTGTTCTTGTGCAAGTGACCACTGTTCCAGGCACCTTCAGACTTCATGGACAGTGACAGGGCCCAACGGGCCAGCTCCCTGCTTTCCAGGCTTTTCTAGCTGAGTTCTTTTGGTCAGCTAGCAGGCTCTTCAGGAACCACCTAACTCAGGCACCTCATAACCTTCCCTGGTGAACCACACTGCCACCTCCCCAATGTTTAAATAGTCTCCCTTATCATTTTTGTCTCCTTACCAGCCATCAATCGATTCAGCCCATTTAGATGTCTGCCTCTGGGCCTTTGCACACACACTATTTCCTCTGTGTGGAGCCCTCTCAGACAGTCACTTACGTATGCACTGACTGACTAACTGGGCTCTGTGCCATGCCAGTCCCTGGGAACACAGCCCAGAAAAAAGTCCTGGTCCTGCTCTGTCTGGGCTTACATTCGAAGAAGGTAGACAAAGAGTAAACTTCTACACAAGCCGACAAAATGATTACAGTTTATATTAAGTGCTGTGAGGGATGTGAGTGAGAGGCTGGGACAGAGTACAGGTTAAGCCCTGAAGCAGGAGACGAGGTGCCCATGTCAAGAGTGAGGGGAAAGTGCTCCAGGCAGAGGACACAGTGGGTGTAAAAGCCGAGAGCCGGGCACGTCCCCTGATCCCACAGACCCGTGTGGCCCAGTATGGAGAGGGAGACGAGGTACGCACAGGATGGACACAGGCAGGCAGACTGTGCTGTTCTGAACAACTTGCTGGGATGATGGACATGTTCTGTCTGTGCAGGCGATTTAAATCAGTTATAATGAAATGAAATAAGAAATTCAATTCCTCAGTCACACCAGCAGTTTCAAATGCTTGATAGCGGCCACTTGTATGGGACCGCACAGGATCACGCTGGAACTTCCGGACTTCTGTCTGGGTTTGGATTTTATTCTACGAGGGGCAAAAGGCCATTGAGAGGCCTTAACGAAGGGGATGACAAAACACTCCCACCTCCTGCCTTCCTGCCGCCCGTCAACGTGTCAATCCTATTTCTCCCTGCTGAGGAAT